CAGGCATGGTGGCTCACACCTATAATGCCAGTGCTTTGCAAGGCTGAGGTGGATAAATCACTTGAGGCCAGGAGTCCCCAACCAGTGAGGGCAACATAACAAGACCCTCATCTCTACAAAAATATGTAAAAGTTCCTGTAATCCCAGCACTCTGGGAGGCGGAGGCAGGCGGATCCCCTGAGTTCAAGAGTTCCACACCAGCCTGACCAACACAGTGAAACCCTGTCTCTACTAAAGATACAAAAAGTAGCCAGGTGTGGTGGCGCACCTGTAATCCCAGCTACCCGGGAGGTTAAGGCAGAAGAATTGCTGGAACCCGGGAGGTGGAGGCTGCAGTGAGCCGAGATCACGCCACCGCACTCCAGCCTGCGGGACAAGAGCGAGACTCTGTCTCACGCACAAAAAAAGATGTTATCAAGTCCTGTCAATTTTACCTTTAAGTGACTCTCAGCTCCGTGGAGCCTCTCCACCACCTCCGTTTCCCCTGCCCTTTGTAGTCACTCCCTGGCACTCTTCCTGGGGCCCTTGCCCAAGGATGCTACCCTTTGGGCTGCAAGCAGCTCTCTAAACCCAAGACCAACACTGTCCTCTTAGGTGGTGACACCCCTGGGAAGCCAGGTAGGGGCTTCGAGGCTGCAGATAGGGGCAGGAGCCTTGATACTAGGCACAGAGAAAAGATCTCATGAATTTGGGGGCATCAATAATTTAGGGGGTCACTAGTCTACTTTCTTCTTTTTTTCCTTTAGTGCCTAGCAAGTAGTCCAACAGAGAAGGTACTGAAAATAGGTATTTTCCTGGATTTTTGACTGGACATGGTGGCTCACGCCTGTAATCCCAGCACTTTGGGAGGCTGAGGCAGGAGGAGTGCTTGAGCCCAGGAGTTCAAGACCAGCCTGGGCCACATGGTGAGACTCTACAAAAAAATACAAAATAAAAATAAATAAATAAAAATAAAAATAAAATAAAATAAATCATTGTGGTAGCATGTGCCTGTAGTCCCAGCTACTTGGGAGGCTGAGGTGGGAGAATCCCATGAACTCAGGAGGACCCTATTGCCTGGATTCCCCTTAACCATGTTTCCTAAGGTTAGTTAGTGGAAGTGACGACATAGAAATAGGAAGCAGTGCTGCTGCTCAGTGACATCCCGGTGGTTGGGGGGGTCTCCCAGGATCCAGGAAGAAGTTATGGGCTCTCTCCCAGCGATCCACAGCTTTCCCATCCTCTGGGGCCTTGCCCCAGTTTGCTGTTTTGAATGGAAGATGCTAATCCTTCTCTGGTCCCAGGTTAGGTCTAGTTCAATACCTTTTTTTTTTGAGATGGAGTCTCACTCTGTCACCCAGGCTGGAGTGCAGCGGCATGATCTCGGCTCACTGTAACCTCCGCCTCCCAGGTTCAAGCAACCCTCCTGCCTCAGTCTTCTGAGTAGCAGGGACTACAAGCACATGTCACCACGCCCAACTAATTTTTGTATTTTTAGTAGAGACAGGGTTTACCCATATTGGCCAGGCTGGTTTTGAACTCCTGACTTCATGATCCACCCGCCTTGGCCTCCCAAAGTGCTGGGATTATAGGTGTGAGCTACCACGCCCAGACAGGTCTAGTTCAATTCTAAGTCTGTGCCCAGCATAAAGGGAGGAGGGTGCAAGTATCGCCATGATAAAAGTCTCCCCACAGCTGCCCATGCTGGGCTGCAGGCAGGCGCAGCACCCCACGCACAACAAGCCTTGATGGTCTCTTGCCTGACAGCCCTATCTCCGAGGAATGCCGGGGAGTCAAGGCCAGCCGCGGAGAGCTTGACCAAAGGGCTTGAGCTCTCTGCCCCCAAGGCTAGCTGTGTTCTTTGATAACAAGCTTGGCGCTTATGATGTAGTTGGGAGAGGTCACGGTGACAGTGACAATGGGCTTTGTGCAGGACTTCACGGTTTGCCAGACTCAGTCATATCCATCAGCCTGTTTGATCCTCATAGTCAAAGGCTGATCTTGGGAATCTCATATCCTTCATTTTGCAGACAGAGAAATTGAGGCCAAGAAAAATTAAGTCCCCTCACCCAAGGCTGTGCTGGTCCCACCTGAGTCATTACAAAAAGAAAAAGAGCTATTCAGATGTTGGATTGTACCCAGCAGAGATGGAAAATAATTCATTTCATGTAGAAAGAAACTGACTAAGCAGGAACTCCATTCCAGGCTCTGTGGCAGACACTAGAGGCACAGGAAGAGACCCGGCCCCTGCCCATGATCAACCTGAGGCTGGAGAAGGAGACGCCAGCAATGAGTTCTGCAGGAGGCAGTCAAGATTCCAGCCGGAGGGCCTGCTTCATCTTTTCTAGACTGCAATTCTCCCGTAACCACACACACTAGTTTTGGACTTGAATGGACACACACTTAAACAGTTGTGTGTCCTCAAAAAGTTACTTAGCTTTTCTGAGCTTGGGCTTCCTCATATATAAAAATGAGAATAAAAAACTCCCATCACGGCTGGGCGCAGTGGCTCACGCCTGTCATCCCAGCACTTTGGGAGGCAGAGGTGGGTGGATCACCTGAGGTCAGGAGTTCAAGACCAGCCTGATCAACATGGAGAAACCCCGTCTCTATTAAAAACACAAAAAATTAGCCGGGTGTGGTGGCGCATGCCTATAATCCCAGCTACTGGGGAGGCTGAGGCAAGAGGATCGCTTGAACTTGGGAGGTGGAGGTTGCAGTGAGCCGAGATTGTGCCATGGCACTCCAGCCTGGGCAACAAGAGCAAACTCTGCCTCAACCAAACCAAAGTAATACAAAACAAAAACTCCCATCACTGGGGCTCATGAAGGGGAGATAACACATGTAAAGTTCCTGGCGTGGTGCCTGGCATACAGCTGGCACTCAACAAATACTGGTATAAACTTAATGGACAGGATAGAATAAGTCCAGAGACACATATGTAAGGAATAGTGTAGGCAGTGCCAGCCTGGGTGAAATGAGCCAGCGGCTTAGAGGTCATTGGTTGTGACTCTGGATAACTGAAGCAACACAAAATCTGCTGGAAGGAGGTGGACACCTCACTGATTAAAGGACAGCCTATTAGGGAGGCCAAGGTGGGCAAATGACTTGAGGTTAGGAGTTCAAGACCAGCCTGACCAACATGGCGAAAGCCCGTCTCTACTAAAAATACAAAAATTAGCTGAGTGTGGTGGCATGCACCTGTAATCCCAGCTACTTGGGAGGCTGAAGCAGGAGAATCACTTGAACCTGGGAAGCAGAGGTTGCAGTGAGCTGAGATCGCGCCACTGCACTCCGGCCTGGGTGACAGAGCGAGACTCCGTCTCAAAACAAAACAACAACAAAAGGAAACCTCTTTTGCGAACTTGCTGTGTGCCTCCCAGAGGGCTTCCAGGAGAAGGTGGCATTGGCTCTGGGCCTTGCAGGGAGAATGTCACACCCTCAAGGGTATGGGGAATGGGGGAAGGGATGCCATCATGACCTACCCAGGAAGGACTTGCTGAAGGATACCACCTAACCAGCACCCAAAGAGACATGGCATTTTTCGCAGTCTCTTCTTTGCCAAACTAGTGACCAAGCCTTAATGTCCTCTTTGGGTTTCTGCTCTTGGATAATCAATTCCACAGAACTCAGTGCACATAAAGTAACTATCTTCAAACCTCTGTGCTTTTCTTTGGGTGACATTCTTTTAGAGAAACATTCACTTCGTCATTCAACAAATATTTAACCAAGTACCCACTATATGCCAAGTACTGTTCTGGGCATAGCTTCTGCTCTCCAGGAGCTCAGAGTCTATTAGGGGATAGAAATGAGCAGACAGTCGCCTCTTGGAGACATAGGGGCTGGATTTGAGGTCCATAACATGTGCAGTTTTGCGATAAAGGAGGGAGGCATCCACTCAGCAGGACAGGCACGTGTTAGAAGATAAAGTTTCACCAGAGGGGTAAGTGGGGTTTTGTGGGATGAGTAGGATTTTGACAGGTACCTTGGAGACTAAGAACATTCCAAGGAGAGGAATAGATGTGAAACAACCTGGGAAGCAGAACAAATGGCAAATAGTGTGTTGGGCCTGGAGGTGAAGCTGTGGGTGGAGATTCCCACTTTATCCTGGCAGTGGTGGGCTTGGGACAAGGGCATGACATAGCAGATTTGTGTTCTAGGCTCATGCCTGTAATCCTAGCACTCTGGGAGGCCCAGTGGCAGTCACCTGTGATCCCAGCTACTTGGAAGGCTGAGGCAAGAGAATCTCTGGAACCCAGGAGGTGGAGGTTGCAGTGAGCCGAGATTGTGTCACTGCACTCCAGCCTGGGGGGCAGGGCAAGACTCTGTCTCAAAAAAAAAAAAACAAAAACAAAAACAAAAAAAACCCTGCTAGGGACTTTTACTGTTTTCTGAGTACTTCACACCATCATGGAATGGCTTTGCGATTGGCATTCACTGCTTTTGCAATTCAAACAATTAAAAAAAAAACCATAAAAGTAAAATTAATCTATAGAGCTCCCTGACACATAGTAGGTGCTCGCTTAATATCCATTGCAGGCAGGGGGTCCCGCCATCTGCGTCTCCCCCCTCACACTATGCCTGAGGGACGCTGCTGGAACGGATGTTAGAGGAGCCCAGAGCTGGCGGCCACATTTTCCCCGGGGGACTGCTCTAAGTCCAGAGTTCTGTTCAGCTGGCCAAAAGTTTTACTTGTGGGGAGATTAAGAAAAAATAAAATAAAAAATTTAAAGCGATCCAGCCCTTCCCATCCACTGTGGGTGAATGGGGGAGGCTCCAGGCAGGCGTGTCTCGGCGCCTGCAGAATCACCGACCCACAAAACAAACAAATGGATTGTGGATCGGATTTTGGATCGAGGGGACAGAAACAGACATTATGCATGCCTCCCCCAGCTCCCAGGCTGTCACTCGCCAGGCTCAGCTTCCCCCACTGGTGCCTTGGGAGACCCTCCCCCGCTCCACTCCATCCCAACTACCTCCTCCCTTTCCCACCTCCAACCCCCCTAAAAGACTTTTTGAAGTTGATCAATGAAACATGTTTTATTTAAGGGCCCTATTCCTGAGCGGGGACTCTGCGAGGCCTTCATTAGTTCCACATAATGAAAGAATGGGCCGATTCAAGGAGACTGGGGAGAGAAAAGAGGGAAAATGAGAGTTCAGTCTGCTTACTTAAAAAAAAAAAAAAAAAAGGGAGGGGGGGGGGTAGAAATTGTGGATTTGCTAAATAAAGCTCTGGCTGCATTCAGAGCTTGGGGAAGGGTCCCCCACTCAATCCTCTTAGGCTTGGCAAAGTCGGACCTGGAGACGGTCTGCCCCAGAGAACGCATTCTACGTCAGGATGGAAGGGCAATGGGCTGTTTAAATTGCTACTTAGGTTTCCAGCTGTTTTTACAGTGATTTGCCCAACTTAATAGCTCTTTAAGGCTTTAAAGGAGAAAATAGCTCTTCTCACGACTCAAAGAAGCGGCCCTGGTTAGCTCAGACAGCGCCCATTGTCCAGGGCTTAAATCCTTCTCGGCAGCCGGATTCCCCTGCCCCCTCTGGTCCGCCCAGACTTTGTCCAGCTACAGAGAGCCTTTATTTATCTTTTTAACATTCCGGTTTTCCAAGCCCGCGTCCAGAGGGCTTCTTCTTAAGAGCTTACTTTTGGGGGAATGTCTGCCTGCTGCCTCTGAGTATTCCTTCAACAGATTAACAACAAATAATAATGATGAAGATGACAGCACCTGGGTATTGAGGGCCTACTGTGAGCCAGACCTCGGATATGGAACTTTTCTGAACTCATCCTGTTTCCTCCTCACCCAGGTCTCCAAAGGAGCTGGCTTCTACCATGATGGCTGTTTTACAGATGGGGAAACCAAGGCACAGAGGAAGGAGCCACTTGGCCAAGTTCACACAGGGGCATACAACAAACAGGGTCACGGAGAGTCTGACTTCCAGGGTCTGGGCTCTTGACCATTACCCTGCTGCCTGTTGGCTGTGAGAGCTTGGGTCACCTAAAACAGGTCAGGGGAGGGGACTCCTGGGACCTGGGGTTCTAGCTTCATTCTTCTGACAAGAGCTAGCTTCATTCTTCTGAGAGCCCACTGTTGGGCCCAGTTTTCAGGGGGGCTGCAGGGTTGTGGGGAGGGGGCAGCAGAGGAGGGGGTCAAGAAACTTAGGAACCTCATCTGGAAGGTGGGAGGAGTCTGACTTTAGCCCCCTGTATCCAGAACCTACTTTTCATTGCACGAAAATAATTCTCCATCCATCATGATTTAACTCTAATATGTTAAAAAGCAACGCATCTTTCTTACGACAAAAGTTATACACATAAATTACAGAGAACTTGAAGTATAGAAAATTAGGGAAAGAGATCATATAAAATGTGTGGCGTTCTCCTTGCATGGTGTGTTTAACATGAGTAAGCTATCATCACCACCGTGATCAATGCTTTTTTTTTTTTTTTTTTGAGTTGGAGTTTGGCTCTTGTTGCCCAGGCTGGAGTGCAATGGCGCGATCTTGGCTCATTGCAACCTCCGCCTCCTGGGTTCAAGTGATTTTCCTGCCTCGGCCTTCTGAGGAGCTGGGATTACAGGTGTGTGCCACCATGCCCAGCTAATTTTGTATTTTTAGTAGAGATGGGGTTTCGCCATGTTGGTCTGGCTGGTCTTGAACTCCTGACCCTAGGTGATCCAACTGCCTCAGCCTCCCAAAGTGCTGGGACTACAGGCCTGAGCCACCGTGCCTGCCCTATTAACGTTATTATCTTGAAGATACTCAAGACCTGGGGCATTTTGGTGTATTATGTTTCCTTCCAGTCTTTTTCTTCACCCATGTATATCTACCCAAACTTAATTGTAATTAATTATACTTGCCCTTGAATATGCTTGCTTTTTTTCTCTTAGATTCTCTAAGATTCACAAAGCTTTGATAAAGTTGATAGATTCCCTTGTTATGAGCCTATGGCCTTTGATTCCTGTACCTCATGACATCCTACAGATTATGTACAAGGGCACACACAGTTCATTGGTGGTAAAGGAAGTCACTAGAGATGGATGGGAGGCCTTGCAGGTGAACAAAGGCCGGGAGGAGGGGAGCCCCTAGATAAAGTGTGTGTCCAAGGCTTGGTTTGCAGGAGACAGAGACGGGGTGTCTGGCTGGACCATGGAGAGAGGCTGGAGCCAGAATCTGGAGCCTCAAAGCCAGAATCAATGAAGGGAGGTAGCCTTAATTCCCTAAGCAATAGGGAGCCACAGATGGTTCAGGGCAGGATTGGTGTTTGAACAGCCCACAGCTAAGACACCGGGAAAAGCAGCTCTGGGGTCCAACCTCACTTATGGCAGGAAAGTAACCACCTTTGTGACAGAATTGGCTTCCCAGCCTTCCTCAGTGACAGCTTGGGAATGAGACCCAAGTCCTGAATGCTTGAGCTGGGCCAGGCTGGAGTCCCTGATGTGTGGTTTCTTCTCTGGTGTGTAGGAGGGAAGAGTGGGCAGAGGCGGCCTCCCACCCACCACAGACACACAGAGGTCAGATCACGTCACTCAGCTTTGCCATTTGGTGAGTAAGTTTGGAAAATGTCAATTTATTTCATTCTCCTGTTTCACAGATGGGAAAACGGATGCCCAGGGAGGGAAGAAGATGAGCTGACGAGCTCACGGCAGGTAAGTGGCAAAGGTGAAGAAAGGAAAATGTCTGCAATTTTCCCGACAATTCCCCTACTCACCTCACCCCATGGCCCCTTCTAATAAAATATACTTAATAGTGGGGTGCTGTGGCTCATGCCTGTAATCCCAGCACTTTGGGAGGCCGAGGACGGCGGATCACCTGAGGTCATGAGTTGGAGACCAGCCTGGCCAATGTGGTGAAACCCTGTCTTTACTAAAAATACAAAAAAATTAGCCAGGCACGGTGGCGGTGTATGCCTGTAATCCCAGCTACCCAGGAGGCTAAGGCAGTAGAATCACTGGAACCCAGGGGGCAGAAGCTGAAGTCAGCCGAGACTGCACCACTGCACTCCAGCATAGGAGACAGAGCAAAACTCTGTCTCAAAACACACACACACACACACATTCTCTCTCTGTCTCTCTTACCAATGAGCCAGGCGTGGTGGCTCACGCCTGTAATCCCAGCACTTTGGGAGGCTGACGTGGGCAGATCACGGGGTCAAGAGATTGAGACTATCCTGGCCAACACGGTGAAACCCTGTCTCCACTAAAAATACAAAAATTAACTGAGTATGGTGGTGGGCACCCGTAATCCCAACCACTCAGGAGGCTGAGGCAGGAGGCTTGCTTCAATCCAGGAGGCGGAGGTTGCAGTGAACTGAAATTGTGCCATTGCACTCCAGCCTGGCAACAGAGTGAGATTCTGCCTTAAAAAAAAAATCTGTCTATCCATATACTTAATGAAAACAAAACAATATGAATGCTATAAGTTTTACTTCTGGAGAAGGTATAGGAATACAGATATTTTCAAATCCAACTGGTGAGAGTGCAAATGACCGTAACCTTATAGGAGGCAGTTTGGAAACTTCTGTCAAAAATTTTCACAGCAAAGCATCATTCACTTCAAAATTCCATTGCCAAGAATTTCTACAACTGCATTTACATATGGATGCAAAGGTGTGTGTCCAAGGATCCTCATCCTGGTGCCACTTTTTATACTAATGGGGAGGAGAAAATCCTAAATGTCCATAAACAGGGACTGGTTGAATACATGTTGCTACATCCACACATGGAGTATTATACAGCCATTAAAAGGAGTGGAATAGACCAATTTATACTCCCACAACCAGTGTTTGAGAACGGCTATTTTTCCATATATTTGGGGTATTTTCAAACTTAAAAATCTTGACCCTTTTGATAGGTTTTCAACCTATCACCAAAGGGCATAGTATTGTTTCTTGATGATGAGTAAGCATGAACATTTTCCATATGGCTACCACTCATTCAAATTTGTTTTTCTGGGAATGGCCTTTTCATATTCAGGTTTTGTTAATTATCTGTTAGGTTTTATATCTTTCTTTCATTTACTTGAATGGATGTGTTCTAAATTAAAGCAATTAATTTGGTGAATGCCAGTCCCTGTTCAGCTTCTGTCTTGATTTGGTATATACTTTTATTCACCTAGAAATGAAAAAATGTGATGAAGTCAAAATTGTGGGACTTTGATTTTTTTGAGACAAAAGGTCTTTTCTAAATAGTTGAATCAATTCTCCTTTTTCTTTGTGATTTCCTCAATCATTTTGATGCTTGGAAGGTTCTCATCCCTCCAGAGTCCTGTTCAATATTCCTTTATTGTTTTGGCCAGCCTTTCTCAGATTTGATTTGCTTTATAAATAATTTATTCTTAAGTATATGTGGAAAATGGACTTAAACTTAAGTTTCCTTTTGTGATGTCCCAACTTCACCATCTGATCATTCTTCCTACTGTTCATTGTCTGGAGAAGACACCATTATCACGTATTGAACTGGTTTATGGAGGAAAGCCTGTTTCTCCCCATTAATCTTTTTTTTTAATATCAGAGAGGGCTTATTCCCCATCTTTTCCAAAATATTCTTGGGACTTCTTACCCATTGATTTCCCCTAATGAATTTTATTGTGGCTTCTGGTTCTGTATCCTGCTTAGAAAGATCTTTCCTTTCCAAAGATTGTAAGTTCACCTATGTTTTCTTTTAGAATTTTTATGGTTTCATTTTTTGGTTTAAATTTTGGACCCATCTGGAACTGATCTGGGTGTAGGGGGTGAGGTAGGGATTCTGTTTTATTTTTTCCAGATGGCCAACTACCCAGTTATCTCCGCGCCGGGCTTTTAACGATGCACCTTTCCCCTCTGATGTGAAACGCCTTCTCCCATTCACGTGCTGAAGTCCTACATCCATTTCTGCACCCGGGTCTGGATGGAGCTGCCTGCTTCTTTTCCAGGACTAAACTTTAAAAATTACTGTGCTTTCCTAGGATGTTTTAACATCTGGTAAAGCCAGTCCTCCTCCACCACTTTTGTTTTTCCTCAGAATTTCCTTGGCTGGTCTCACATGTTTATTTTTCCAGATGAAATTTGGTATCATTTTGTCAAGTTCCAAAAAATAAAAGAAAATAAAAACCCTGTTGGTTTAAGGCTTTTCTTACCAGACAGTGTAGT